TGATCCAGGTGGAGTTGGCTATCGGGCCAGAGGAAGGGATCAGCTACCTCACGGACAAGGGATCCACGGTGAGTTCACAGATAGCACTTGATCATTCGATTATGAATAAATATGGGTATATTTAGCCCAGTTTAACTCTTTCTGTGTTCCTCTCTCTGTCCCCAGCCCACCCATCTAGCTAACTTTAACCAAGTTCAGTCCATCCAGTACTCTGCCATGGAGGAGAAGGACAGGAAAGGGATGCTTCAGCTCAACGTAGCCGGAGCTGCTGAGGTATTACTACCCTGTCTGACTGTCTCTCTGTCTACGTATAGAAATGTGCTCATGGAAAACTCAATGAGTTGCAGCACCTCAAACTTGTAAGTTTTGACATTTTAGACATCTGGTATTCTGTTTTATCCCTATGATAAATAGATAATTCTCATTGCTTCTCCTTTTATGTAATCTAGCTTTATGTAGGACACACTTTCCCTCGACCTGTCTTAAATACATGTCGACAATTTCTACCTTTCCCAAGATCAACTTGATGTACTGAAATACTGGAAGTTTAGTTTAGTTTCTTCTCGAAAGTGTATTCAATCTCATACTTTTAGAGGAAGCTGTGAAAAGGACAGAAGAATGCAGGTTTTCTGCATACTTAATAGGTATTATTTGTTTAGTAATGATGACTGCTTTGGCCTCTAATGATACTAAAGACCTGCCATACGCTGTGTCCATCACGGTGCATAGCGTGGTTACTCGGCCCTCTGTGAGTGAGTGAGTGCGTGCGTGCGTGAGCGGCTGCGATGGATCCAGTGATTGGTTTTCCATGTATTCATTCCACATACTGGTTATACTCACGGAGGAAGGGTTTCATAACACACGTGTGGTGTCTTTCTGTTTAATTGACTTTTATAGTATTGGATTTACTTGCACACACACGTGCACCAACACACACACACACACACACACACATGCTGTGAGAGAGAGCAGTTTTCCCATGACGCAAGGAGCAGCTGGAAACCCCCCCCCCCCCACTGTGCTGTTATGTGTAAGAGTAAATGTGTGTCTGTGGAGATAATGGCTCTTTGTAACAGGCCTGCCACTGTGTGTGTGTGTGTGTGTGTGTGTGTGTGTGTGTGTGTCTGCAGCCTCTCACAGTTACGACAGCATCGCTGACCATGGCAGAGAACTTGGCCGACTTGATTGACGGTTACTGTCGGCTCATCTCGATGGAAAGTCACTCGTTCATCGTCAGATTTCAGAAAGGTATGAAACTGAAGATACCGCCTTTCTGTCCCGCGTGATAACCTTCTCTTCAAACTTTACAATAAATGCATCAAAATGTACTACCGTGTGCAGCAGAGCGTCCTACAACATCTTCCATGTTGGCAAGATATCAAAAGCTTCTTGTGATTTGAATATTGCAACAATCAATATAGCCAAATTGTTATATCTAGTGCTCTCGATTTAGATAGAGAGTTAGTAATAAGTTGTGCAGCGCTGCTATTTAATAAATACTATGTGATACACTGAACTACACGCTGGTTGTATACTTCATGTATCTATTCTACTGCTGTATAAGGAATGTGTTTTGTATGCAGGGGAGTTAAATCTTCACATTACTCATTCCTGTGCAGACGATTTGTGTTTTTGTCCTCTAGAGGGAGAGAGAGCCCTGCCCTCCATCCCAAAGTAAGTACCTGTCTCCTTCTTAGTGTTGTTCCAGTAAATCCTTCATCTGTCTCGTGCACGTATGAAACGTTGAGCTGTCCAGTAAATCCTTCATCTGTCTCGTGCACGTATGAAACGTTGAGCTGTGTTTTACTCGCAGGTTTACTGGTCCATTTCGGAGACTTAAAAAAAAAAGAGCTTTAAATGGTTGGCACGGTGCCAGGCGTATCGTAAAAATAATCAACTGATTAACCTATAATGAAAATAAGTCGGTTGCAGCCCAGTGGTCTTACATTATCACGGCAGTGTCCATTAATATATTGCATCAGAACTCAACAGACTAATCCGTTTTGAAAAGGTTTCTATTTACCAATAACTCAGCCAAGAGAAAAACATAACTGGAAAAACTGAATTTGAGCCTTTTTATAGGTTTTTTTGGCTCATGACAGCAAAGGCCTTCGTCATTTTTTTTTGGGGGGGGTTTATGTGTTTGTTTATCCGTGACCGTAGAAGCTCGGACGTTTCATTTTCACATTTTGCTGCCACTTAATCAAATTCAAACACCAACCGTTTTGCTTATTTTTTGGTAATTTCAACTCAACTCTTTCTCCTCTTTCGCTCCATCTGTGGTCAAATAAGGAGATATGTTTAGGAGCCAAATATTTTCCACTTAGGGTTTTTAAACACTTGGGTAGTCTCCTCCTCTTTCTCTTGTTCTCTCACTCTCTCGCTGTCTCTCTCTGCCTGTTGTGGTTGTGATGTAAAGATGGTAGTAAAGCTCAGATGACCCAGACGGAGAGACCACTGCAGAGGCAGAGAGATAATTGAAACAGTCGGCGTTAGTTTACAGAGGCAGTGAGATCTGACTTTAACAATCCCTTAAACCTAGGTAGGATGATGTTATATCTTAGCATTTAATATGTTTGACTGTTGTCTAATTTGCTTCTTTTTCTTCTTTTCTAGGTTGTCCAACAATGAGAAAAAGTTAGAAGCAGTCAGGAGCGGAGTGAGAGCCATCTCTGTCTCAGGTAAGAAAAAGATGACAGGTTTAGGAGCAAGATGTACACAGTCTGGCAGCTTTGTTGGCTCCAACGACTCTCTTTCTTTCTGTCTTTTCATTTCCTCCAACATCTGTTTTCTCTCTCATTGTTTTTCTTCTCTGTTGGGACTGCCTCTCCCTCTGCCTCACCCCGTCCTCTCTGTTCCTGCTTTCTTTTGTTTACTTCCTCACCCCCTTCTCTGTCTTCCACACATCCTCCCCTCTGTACTCATTCACTCTATTTTTTTTTTTTTATTTCTCTCACACTGGTCTTTCTTTCCCGCCTGATTGGCCTGCAGACCTAGTGACATCGTCGTCTCCCAAGCCAACCAAGGCGCGGCGTTTCCTCCTCCCCTTTGTCTTCTGTTCTGATTCGCCGGCCAATGGTATCCTCCGCTCTCATTGGACAGTTAGTGGAGGAGCGTGTCCACAAAATTGTGATGTGGCGGAATGAAATGCCTGATTTGATGATCATTCTTATTGGGTAATGTTACATTGCAGTAAAGATGGTGTTCAGAAAAACCTCAGAGAAACAAGCCGACTAATGAAGTCAATAGGCAGGAGTTGCACAATATATGCAGTTTAACATTTAAGAGTTGTTTAAAGGACTATTTTGTCTTCCTGGGTTGATTTACAGCACTAATCTGGCTCAGAAAAGGTTGAAAACAAATGCTATATTCAAAATATTGACACAGTTTTGGTTGCTGTTTATAGATTTTGCATATTTTCAATGCAAAATTAAGATGGTATTGTGGATGAATCACTTTCATCTGCTGCATCACAATCTGTCTCTTTTTTAGGGATGCCCTCTTCTACTAAACTATCTCCGTCCTCAGTGCCTGGTTGCTTTTGACTAATTCAGTCTCACGCAAACAAACAATAACTGTGTGTGTGCTGCAGCTTCTAACCAAGTCAATGCTCCTAAAGTAAGACTGGTGAACCAATGGAAACTCTGAATTGTGCAGTACATTCGTTAAAACCTGAGGTTTTTCTCTGTTTTACTTCTCACACATTTGTGAACAAGTATTCTGTTTTGAGCCAACCTTGCTGACAAAGGCGACTAAAGATGGATATTTATTCCTCTTTGAATGCTGTGACTGTAAGTAGCCAGTACTGACATCCAGAGTCTCCGTTCAGCACATGCCTTGCCGTTGAGCTCACAATTTGCTTATTTTTAATCATTATTTTCAATGTTTTATGTCAGTTAATTCATGATGGCCAAGTGTCACTGTTCAAGTGTTCTCAAGCAGCCGATCAGCACCAGCTGAGGGATGTAGTTCTATAGGTAGGGAAAATGAACAGATTATAACCCTAACAAAGTGTGTTTTAAGATCAGTCATGAAAGCCCAAAGTGTATCAATAGCAATCAGATTATCTGGAAGGGAAAACAAAAAAATTGTAATTTAACAATTTAAAGATATCAGCAAAACAATAAAGCCAACAAATGAAAGTGGTATCATCCTTCTCATGTAAATCTCTATGTGTATATCCTAAAATGTTGAACTCTAACTTTATGATTTGATCTCTCCTCCTTGTTTGGGTTAAGATTCTTAAGAGACCAATACAGTAATCCAGTCCTGTCTAGAAACTGCTGTGTAGTTCCACTGCAAGTGTAGAAGTGTGAGAAACGTTGCTCATGAGATGAGGACGGTGTGAGGATCTAACTCTGCTCTCTGTTTACATCACACCACTTGATCTCACAGGCTGCATCCTCCTGTCTCTCTGCTAAGCTAACATTAACTCTCTAACTCACAGATATTCACAGCTTGAAGCAGACCTCATGCCTCATGGAAATCCTTCCATATTAGTTTCACCTACATGTGTCTGCGCCGCCCTAATGGAAGTTGTGACCTCTTTCTTTCACCAGAGATGTTTTGAAAGCTTAACTAACTGCCCGTTGAGTGTTCGGCTTTGCAGATCCTGCAACATCTCCCGTGTTGTTTCAAGGCTTTTCGTGCTCTAACCGCTCTCTCTCTCTCTCTTCTCTCTCTCCCTCTTTTCTCCGCTCTGCCTCCTCCTCGCTGCTTTCTCTCTCTCTCTCTCTCTCTCTCTCTCTCTCTCTCTCTCTCTCCATTCTCCTCCTCCTCTGCTGTCCCGTTTCCTGCATGCTCTCCCGGACCCCGCAGAGGATCTTAGTGGGGATGGTAAAGTTGTGCTGTTGTTTATCAATCTCTCTGTTGTCCCTTCTTTATGGTCCTCATTCCACCAACACACTGCAGCCTCCTGGGAACGGGTAGCATGTGTGTGTGTGTTGGTGTGTGGGTTGATGTTTATGCATGCATTGCTACATCTTTAACAATGACGCTATGTGTGTGTGTACGTGCTGTGTTGCGTACATATAGAGATGCAGAGTGATTTAGGTCATTTAGAATGAAAGGACGTTTTAGCTGAATGTTTCTCATGTTTCAGTGATTTGAAACATGAATGTATCGCTCGTAGCTTCAATGAGTTTTATCTGTTAGGAGCAAGAGTCAATATATTTCAGTATTGTTTTTAAGATGTTTGAGTCTGAGTGTATTTGTGATTATTTTTAAAGTGGACTACCACTAAATTTGAAATATGTCTCCTTTTAACCACAAGAATGACATAAAAAGCAGAATTTGGAAATTAAGTGGTATTTCTCTTTAAGGGAACTTCTCCAAACTCTCTCTGTCTCTCTCTCTCTCTCTATCTCTCGCTCTCTCGCTCTATCTCTCTGTCTCTATCTCTATCTCTCGCTCTGTCTGTCTCCGTCTCTCTCTTTCTTTCTCTCACTCTCTCTCTCAGAGAAAATCAAGCACACGTGTACTCACATACATTCGTGCACACAGAGTGGAGTAGGGAGAGGTTTGCTGGATTCAAGAGCGGGTGCATTCCTGGCTATAATGGGCTAACTAGCGCACACACACGCACACACGCACACACACACACACACACACACACACACACACACACACACACACACAGTATCTCTCCACTGAAAGCAGAGACAGACAGAGTCAGGCCAGTCCGACTTGGGTTGATTCTTTAGAACAAATCTCAAACCATGTGAGCGAATATGCAGCAATACAAACAATGGACTTCACAGTACAGACTAAGAAATATGTATAAAAATATACAGAACTGAAACAATTTAAGTAATCTGCTGATTTAAGTGCAAGAAACAAGTTAGACAAAGTTAAAGAAACAGTTTGAAATCAGCTGGAAACATTTAATCATTGCACGCAGGGAAACATTGGAAAGACTTTCTGGATAAATAAAAAAGCGAAATGTTTTCTAGTTGCTGAAATGTGTTTTATTGAACAAACCATGGCCGATGAAAGCCACATTTTGCTGAAATGCAATGTTGTATATGATCAGTTTATCTAATGAAACCCATGTTAGCAGCAGCAACCAGAGCGTTTGCTTTTATTTCAGGTCATATAAAGGTATTGTTAGCGGCACATTAAAGGCTTTCCTTTTCTTTCATGTGAAACATAAATCATGCACAGCAATGGTTTAGCAAAAGTCCTGCTTACTTGATTAAAGGTTCAAACTGGGATATTGCACTGGTAACGTAATAGTAGTAAATGTTATAACATCAAAGCCTTCAGTGTTTCATTCATCTTTTCCTTAAATGAACAGTTGGACACTGAAACACGCGTATTTGCTTTTAGAGTTGCATGAAACTGCTGATACCTCTCTCATGTCATTAAACCGTTCAACATGCAGCCTGCAGCTGGTTAGCCTAGCTTAGCGTAAAGACTGGAAGCGGGGGGAAACGGCTAGCCTGGTTTTCTTTAACAAAGATTAAACAAACATGATATGACATGTTAATTAGTGAGCTGTTTAGTGCTGGTTGGAGGATTTTCTTTTAACCCCGACATAGGCTAGCTGACCCCCTGCTTCTAGTCTTTGTGGAGAGCTAAGCTAACTAGCTTCATGTTTACTGTGAGGACAAGAGAGTGGTGTCAATCTTCTCTTCTAGCTCTAAATGTATGTTTTCCCCAGAATGTCTTTTAGCATTAAACATGTTTCAGTTGACTTTACTACGATCCAGTGCATTATTTAGCCTGCCTTATATTACAACAGTTTATTACTATATTACAAACGCTTTCTTCAGCCTATTCTACATGCAAGGCTCTGCATATAATGATAATCTTGAGAAAATCAGCCACCGGCTTTAGAAAAGGATTTCTGATAAGTTTCGGGACACATTCCCACAGAGCCTGATAAACCCCGGGCAGAGCTGTGAGGGTAGCGTTCAGGACAGCAGATGTTCGACTCTCGTTTCCAACAGCTGAGTCTGCACACTGATTTTATTTTAAACACCACCATCTGGTTTGGATAGACTGGGTCCATCTTTCCCTCTCTTTTTTCCCTGCTGGCTCTCTCTCTCTCTCTCCCTCTCTCTCTCTTTCTATCTATCGGATTCTGCACAGATTTGGTCCTAAACGTTGCCATCTGCTTACATGAAGGCTGCGCTCACTATTTCTTTCTCTCACTCTTTTACTCTCTCTGTCCTTGCCTCCTTCCTCCTGCTTTCTCCTGTTCATTTTCTACTTGACTCTCTCAAGCTTTCTTCTTTCTGTCTTCGTCTCGTCTCTTTTTCTCTCCCCCCTCCTCCTCCACCACCACAGTTTACTCCCTGCAGCCCAGCTGCTCTTACACAGACTGATATGCACAACACATGCTCAGCTGACACTCTCCGCCAAGTGTGTGTGTGTGTGTGTGTGTGTGTGTGTGTGTGTGTGTGTGTGTGCAGAGAGGGAAAGAGAGGAGCTACGTGGGTGTTGCTTTGGTTTGCGCAGGAGTTTGTCGAGACTCTTCATACTTTATTCCTTAGTTTCATTGTGCAGTTTTTTTATCGCACACGTGTGTCTTTGTGTGTATCGGTAGACCCTTCATACCACAGCGGGCGCACGGTAAACGGAGTAACATGTGCATGATTTTCCTATTGTTTGTGTTTGTGTATTTGTTATTTTAGACTTGCCTGTGTGTGTGTGTGTGTGTGTTTTTTCTTTTGCATGTATTTACCCTCTTTGTGTGTGTGTCATGTTACAGAGACCGATGACTATGCTGAGATAGTTGATGAAGAGGACACATACACCATGCCCTCCAGTAAGTAACTGATTCACTCTCTTTTCTTTTGTCTAACGTCTCTCAACCAAAGTCATGCCAAAGTACTTTGTGCTCAAGAACTGAGCTTCTGTTGCTCTGCAGCAGGAGATTAAGTTATTCTTCTGTCGGATGCTTACGTTCTCAAACTGACTTATGATTTCGTTAACAAGCCGAGAGTGGCGTGAATCGTATCCAAGACACACACTCAAACAGGGAGCATCAGAGAAGTTGCATTACACCACTTTTGGTTAGGTAGCAGCTAATCAACTGCGAGCCAGTTTCAGTGTCTTATATAAACAGCAGAGACACCAGCTGGAGGTCAGAGAGGCTGCAGCTCGTACTCTGGAACTCCGGTTTGTTTGACACACATCGCATCTGTCAAATTCATTCATATGTTATTCAAAACCCCCGAATGTGCTGGTAAGCTTGCCTGTAGCCCCGTGAGTAATGGCGGTTTTAGCCCTCGGTTCCAATGCATTTAATGTGGACGTCTCTCGGGCAGCACAAAGTACTCGTGTACCGCGTGGCCAACTTTGAAAATGGACTGTGTACTTCTTTCCTCCCACAATCTTTTTCTCGTCTGCTGTGTGTATACAAATGAAGCTGTATTACAGTAACGACTATATAGCAAACCTACTCCTGACCATTCTGTGGCCGTATTCTTTCATTAACTTCTTTATGAACAAAATGTCAGGTAAAGAGTGAAACGGGTCAGTTCTCTCTGTCTGCATATACTTGTGTGTGTGTTTAAACCTTAAAGCAGCTGTCTGGCTCTCTTCATCTCTCTTTCTTCCTCTTTCTCCCATCGCCAACACAGTCAGCTATGGAGTAGTTGAAGGTAAAGCTCCCTGTCTCTCTGTCTTTCTGTGCTACCGAAATGCCTTGAGATTCTACACTGTTCTTCACGTTTTTTCTTTGCCAGGCACTTGACTACGTTCTCGCCAGCCTAAAAATGAATTGGTATAAATGATGTGGCTTTTTTTTAAGAAGTCAGGAACCAGTGCAGGACGATTTCTTACTAGTGTTTGTCAAAGAAAAATACAAAGACTCAAGGTACCGAATATCCAGGTTGTTGCCGACTTGTGTTCGTTGGCGTTCTGTAAAGTGCAGTTCATCTGGGTCTTGTGTTGAACATGAAAGGGAGAGCCGGTCCATAAACAGTGCAAGATGTTACTTCACAAACAGTTTAATCAGTGTCCCCAGACCTCTGCAGCGAAACAATCTCACAGCATTTGCGTTGTTTATTGGCTTGGTTCTCATTTTATTTCACCATCCTGTTGGCAGTGACATTTTAATTTATTATCATGGTCGTATGTTGTTGTTGTTCATCAGTCATCTGTGGGTTCTTTTGTGTTTGAAGCGGTTATGAATCCAACTGGCGTATAGATTCATTTCAGTACATTTCTTTCTAAAAATGGAATGTGTTTTGCGTTTATCGGTCGGTTGAGTCAAACAGACAAACTTTGTTGAGTCTGACAGATGAGTAAACTGGTGCAGGATAAGTTCCTGATGGTCCTGCGTGAAGCTCTTATACTCAGCGTTTAGTCCATTTTCACAGCGGCTGGTTGGCTGCTAACATTCACGCAGCACAGAAATGTTTACGACCTTTTCAACAAAGCGCAAATATTGATAGCGCATAAATGTCAAAGCATGAGGATGTCACGTGCAAGAACTACCGCTTTCTTTCAAATTCTTGTGGACATACTCACTGAATATAGAAACGTTACTGCAGACACAGATCATACTGAATACACTTCATATCCAGTGTGTCCATTATATATCAGTCTTTTGAATATTTCACTCAAAAAGTCCACGTTTAGGCGCTCATCTATGCTCTGCTCTTGATGTTTGTATGCAGGGATAAACATAAATGATAATGGGACCCTGGTGTGCATGTAAACACTGATTTTTGTGAACATTACTTTTTGTCTTTTAAATAGGTTTACCATATGTTGGTGTGTTATTTTGTGTGGCAGTGTGCATGTCAAGTCAAGGTTTGTCTAGTTAGATGTGTTATGGGAAGGGAATATAATCTTGGGTCGAAATATGTTTGTGTATATTGTTTTATTTTAGTCTAATCTGATTACTGGTAATCAGATTAGACTAAAATAAAACAATATGGGGTTGGGTGGGGTGGGTGGGGTTCATCAACAAGGACGATCATTTAACTGCCGGAAAGTTACAAATCATTTCAAAGTATCTTGACTTGCTTTGTTGTGATAGAAAGAATCACCTGATCTCACCCAAATGTTCTCGTCCTGGTGAACTCCATCCACGTGGTCCAAGTACAGCATGTCTTATGTAATGGGTTTTCCCAGTGTTTGCAGTGTATGAAAAAACAGCAGGTAAATGTATAAATCTCCCATCTTTCCACTTCTCTTCTCCTCTCTCTTCCACTCGCTCAGCACGGGATTATGAGATCCAGAGGGACAGGATCGAGTTGGGCCGCTGCATAGGAGAGGGTCAGTTTGGAGATGTGCACCAAGGAGTCTATAACAGCCCGGTATGTGGAAATACACACACGCACACACACGCACACACTCTTGCATGGGAACACTTTTTGTGTACTAACCACAGTACACAAATGACCTTTTAAATATCCGTCATAACACACAATGCACAGCAAAGACTTTCACGACAGCATTAAAATAAAAATAGGTCATCATGTAATTTTCCAAACATATTGAAAACCTTCCAAAATAACATACATACTGCTTTTTCTCAAGTACTTAGGAGTCAATGAAATATTAAGACATATGTAGGATAAATAGTTTGGTTGTTACTCTATTATCCAGCTAAAACAAACCATTGCAGTTTTAAAAGTATTCTCAATTCTGCACCAACAAGCTCAAAGATAAGATTCTGATACTTTATAAACTGAACATATTGAAAAACATTTTTGTTAATGATTTGAATTGTTGTCAGTGTTGTGTTTTTACACATTAAGAGTTTAGTCTATTCAGTGCTTTAAACATGAATTTAAACATTTTATGTGATACTGCATGTTGAATACTATCAACCAGCCTTATTACTGTAATATGTCTAATCTGCTGACCTGTGTGACTTGTACCATGTGTTCTGCAGGACAAGCCATCTCTAGCTGTTGCCATTAAGACCTGTAAGAACTGTACATCAGACAGCGTCAGAGAAAAGTTCCTACAAGAAGCATGTAAGAACAAACTGTGTTTTGTTTTTACTTGACTTATTAACGAACCATATTTCATTTCATACATGCTGAGTGTGTTTATGTGTGTGTGTGTGTGTGCGTTTGTTTCCCTTGCAGTGACGATGCGTCAGTTCGACCACCCTCACATCGTTAAGCTGATCGGAGTGATCACAGAAAACCCCGTGTGGATCATCATGGAGCTGTGCACTCTGGGAGAGGTACGCCCGAGGCTGTGTAGATAACGTACCGTTCACACATACGCACTGACTACAGTGGAGTGTCTGTCACTTCTGTTCAGCATACAAAGGGAATTGATGAGTGCAAGTCATGACTAGGAAAGGCCTGAGCTGCACATCGCTCATATGAAGAAAATAAAACACTTGATTGATACTTGTTGACACTTGTAGGTTAAACGTCAAGGTAAGGTCTCGCTGACAGTCTATTATCAGCGTGAGATGGTCACGTGGGTTGACGTGGTATCTGCCGTGTTGTATAAATACACTGCATAAAACCATCTTCTATGTCTTTCTCTCTCTGTCTACAGTTACGTTCCTTCCTTCAGGTGAGGAAGTACAATTTGGATTTGTCCAGTCTCATTCTGTTTGCCCACCAGCTCAGCACAGCGCTCGCATATCTGGAGAGTAAACGCTTTGTACACAGGTACACACACACACACACACACACACACACACACACACACACACACACACACACACACACACACACACACACACACACACACACACACACACACACACACACACACACACACACACACACACACACACACACACACACACACACGCACACACACACGCATGCATGCTCAATATAGATTTCTAACGACCTGTGGGCAAAAGATTTAATGTACTGGATTTACATTATTAGTATTATCATGTCATGTCATTGTAACTAGGGCAGTTTCAGGAGTTTTGTTTTCTTATGTTTAACTTACTGAAATGCAGTGACTGTATAATAGCACTTTGTAGCAAGTATGGAGTGGTGTTCAGGCACTGCCGTGGTGTTTCACTGTGCATCTCTCACATTCATGCTGAACAATTGACACATAGCATCTATGGTTCAGGCCTAACGACGATCAATATTGACTTGCAGGGACATAGCAGCACGCAATGTGCTGGTCTCTTCAGTCGACTGCGTGATGCTCGGAGACTTTGGTCTGTCGCGATACATGGAGGACAGTTCTTACTACAAAGGTGATGATACTCAAACACATGAGCAGCTTTGTGTTATTTTGGGACACAGAACAGTGTTCACTAATGTTTCAAATGTATCAGTTGCACCAGTTGCCAGTACTCTACCACCACCAACAGGTTACATCGGGATACTGCAGTTTATCTTCACTCTATGAAGACTGTCTTCTTCTCGTCTCTGACCCTCTGGAGAGATTGCGAAATACACCAGCAACCACATGACAGAGTAATAAATGTAATGTATTTATGAAATATTGACGTTACTGTGTTTGTCTTTGTATATTAGCTTCTAAAGGTAAACTTCCTATCAAATGGATGGCTCCTGAATCTATCAACTTCAGAAGATTCACCTCCGCCAGCGACGTCTGGATGTTTGGTGAGTTCTCATCAATTATATGGGATTGGGTGTGTTGTGTTACTGTCATTGGAAAAATACACATACAGTACATCATCTGAGACACAGTACTGAAGAACTCTGTCTCTCTGTAGGTGTGTGCATGTGGGAGATCTTGATGTTCGGCATCAAGCCTTTCCAGGGAGTGAAGAACAACGACGTGATCGGCAGGATAGAGAACGGCGAGCGATTGGCTATGCCTCCTCAGTGCCCGCCCACCTTCTACAGTTTGATGACCAAATGTTGGTCGTATGACCCCAGCAAGCGGCCGCGATTCACCGAACTCAAAACACAGCTCAGGTAACTAAATGTGTTTTTTTTCAGTTGTTGCCTATAAGTGCTTGTGTGTGAATATTAATTACACAAAAGGCCATAATACTAACACTCTGGCAATGCTTTCCAGTGCATGCCACTTGCATGTTACATAGACAGTAGATAGTAGAAGTCACTCACTAGAAGTAAATGGATGAATAACTGTCCTGTTTTAGTAATTTTGCATACATTGACTATTGATTATTGCCCATCAAGTATTTTAATACCTTGGTGTATTTACCATGAAGTAATCATCGGAGCTGCTATCCTTCTTTGTGTGTAACTTGTGTAGCACCATACTGGAGGAAGAGAAGCTTCAACAAGAAGAGAGACTTCGGATGGAGATGAGGAGACAAGTCACCGTGTCCTGGGACTCTGGAGGGTCCGATGAAGCACCGCCTAAAGTACGACTGAGCTGATTGTTGTTGTTTTCTTGTATTTCCACATGTGTGTGACATGGCTGATAAAGACAAACTGTTGTCTTTCTGCCTGCAGCCCAGTAGACCAGGTTACCCAAGTCCTCGCTCCAGTGAAGGCTTCTTTTCCGGCCCCCAACTCAACCACTTCCCGGTACAGAAAACACACACACACACACACACACACACACACACACACACACGGCTCCTGAAGTGAGAAAACTGTGCTCTTCTGTTGCCTCTCATCCACTGCGGATGCAGCAGTGTTTCCTCTGACCTCCAGCAGTGTGCAACGCTACGGAGAGGAAGAAGTCAGGACTCTGTAAAGTCTGACAGGAATCTTTAGGAACAAACTTACTGTAAACTGCTCAGAGAGGGTCATCAAGGAAAACACCACTGGTCAGGAATAGATAACAAAATATTATTTCAGGCAAAATAAATGTGTTTGTGGCAGCGACTGCACACTCAAGGTGAAATGCGCTGATCTTATCGGTGTTAATTTAAGAACCGTGATCAAATATTTGTAATGGTTATGTGTGTTCACTACCACAAACACTTCATGTGTGTCCTGCAGTTGCTCCTCTAGCTGCACAGCTAGTACAAGCTATGCAGAGCGTTTATTTGCTCTTTTTTTACAGAGGGCTGTTCAGAGAGTATTTGATCAAAACTTTGTAGGAATGCCGTTTTCAAAAAAGGTGCATCAATCAGAAATCTTAAAAACATACCAATACTCTTTTATTTTACAATGTTGGAAACATCTTTTGCCAGGTTCTATAGATCACCTCTGAAGTGTCCAGGTTGAGCAAGATAATCACAATAAAGGCCAAACCAGTAAAGTCAGGACTGAGTCTCAGAGGACAGCAAGCGTGCGCTGCATGTGTCAAAAGTCAGAAATGTGAAGGCAGAGAAAATGAGAGAGACTTTCAGTGGCAATTATTCCTCTCCTCATAAAACGAGCAGACAGGAGGCATTTCCTGTAGCCACACACACACACACACACACACACACACACACACAAATCAAAGCCGCTCTCCAGCTCGTATGACAACAAGCAGCTCTCTCTCTTGTCCTTATAAGGAGTGTATAATCATAACGGCTATACAAGTCAAACTTGATCACATCACACGTAAGAATAACATCTGTATATTTTGGTAGCATGTGTTACACATCAGACTGACCTCCCATTATTCTTTGAGGCCTCGTGGCAAATCAGGAATTGTTATTAACAATACTTACTAAATGTTAATATTATTTCATAATGATTCCTTGACTTTTCACTCTGCTTCAGAGACTCTTTCTATGAGTCTATTTGAAATGTGAGTTCATCCTCAACTCTGCCGTTTGTCATCAGTGTGTTTTACATTAAAACATTCACAAAAGGCACCACTGAGTTTTACTCCAGGAATACTTTACTTTTGTGCTGTAATCCAGACAGGAAAGTAAAAAGGCACTTTGATATATTCTTTAACCTCCTCCACCCCGCGAGGTCGCCGGCGTTCTCGTGGGGTTCAGGCACCCTGAAAATGTTGTCCGGAAAATGGATTTATTATTTGCTAAATATTGTGGAATTGTAATTTTTTTTTACCGGATTAAACGGCAACGTATGGGCAACACTATCATATAAGTCACTTTTTACACACTCCAAACACAACTATAGACTACTAATATAAGCATCGAGAAAACGTGTCATAAAAGGACGAATTTGTGGCCATAAATCGCCATCATATTTAACTGCACATCGATTGTGCACCACGAAGCTAGCGGCTAGCCGGCTAATCCGCACAAACATCGTTTAGCAATAGCATCCGACACAGAACGCATAAATACCTTCGGTTTTTCTCTCCGTGAAAGCAGTACAAAGCTGTGAGTGGACAAAGGCACCAGGGCAGTGGTCTTCACTGGAAAAAATCCTTGGTTTTTGGTCAGGCTTTATGAAATATTAGTACAAAAACATTGAAAATGATCCGTTTTAGAGCTACTGTCATGGTCGCCAAGTGCATCCTGTTTACAGCCGAGCTGTTTCCGGTAGAAGGCGGGTCAACCCACCTCGGGCCAGCGGTCAGACCTTCGGCCAATGGAATTTTATGCTCGGGGATACGCGGCACTTCTTGCAACTTTACTGGCTGAAAGTTCTGTCAATCAACACCCGCTTCGGCATCGGGCTCATTGACTGAAATCGACCGATGATAGGCTGAGCTACAGCCCCATACACACACATGAACTGAGAAAATCCTATAGATGACAGCCAGAAACAGGCTATGAGATGACCCTTGCTCTCAAAATGATTCCTAACAGCTGTATTTGGATGTATTGAATAATATGAGTGATAAAAAAAGTGAAATATATAGTTGTATAGTATATAAAAGTACAATGTAAGAGCTGCAATAGCTGGTTCGAAAATGACGACCTCGCGTGACCTCTCTGTACTAAAGCCTCTTATTCTTCACTTTATCCCAGCCAACCTTTACTCTACAACTACTGATCGTTTGTGCTATGATTTGGGAGAGTTTGAGCCAGCCAGCTGCATTATTTCAAAAACATAATATCAATTAAAATGCTTTTTTTCAGGCGAACCTGAATATTTCCAATTTGAGCTGTGTAATATGTTCATGCACTATATTAACCAGCAACATATACACAATATTACCCACTGAACAATCTCACCAGTGTTGTGATCTGATTATAGCATCAACAATTATTAAAATAGACCTTGTAGTTACAGAACTGTGGTCTCCTTAGTATGGGTCATTTTCGAGCAGAGGGCTAAAAATAGGGCTAGGGGCTTAAGAGGTTTTAAGGTCAGGTTCAATCAATTTACACTCTAAACTTCATGTGCACCTTTACCAGACATGTTTTTCATGCATTCCAAAAATGCGTCATTGCATTTCTTTAGCTTTATTGCTTTTGAGTTTTTCATTTTTTGTATTCTCCAATGTCAACGACATTTTTGGAGCTAAATAATGACAATAAAGAACTCAAAACTTACTAAGTTATGAACAGTTTTATACCATATAAAGGTAAATAGCTTTAAACCTAAATTCTTTAGAATTGGGTCTTGTGTTATCAAAACAAGTATGTAAAAATAATTCTTCTTACAATTATTAACCATTTTTTTATTCTCTCTCTCTGTCTGTCCATCTCCAGCCGTCAGCCCATGGTGTCGTAGGGGGAGTAGGGGGCAGCTACCCTCCAATGGATTCCTGGAATCAACACAGGCCTGAACACACGGCACTGTGGAGCCCTAACATGGAGGTATGCACACTCAGGGAAAACGCACTGAAATTACATCCATCATTCCGTGAAGTGGTGAGAGCGGAGTTTTGTGACATCTCAGCTCCTCGAATCACCACTGAACCGCATGTGTCGCAATGTGTCGACAGCTTTCTGCAAGCTTCAAAAGAAGTACCTGTATACTTCTTCTGCAGTTGGCAGTTGAGCCTAAAACAACCTGGATCTCTTTCATAATCATTATCTTGTGATTCAACATAGCAGGTGACATTACAGTAGTGAGGTGCTGGCCTTTCAACTGTGTGTATGTGTGTGTAACTAAATGTATTTTCCACAGGACGATGGGTGCGTAGGCCAAGCTGTGATGGAGGAGAGGCTGATGATGCAGCAGCAGCAGATGGAGGATGACCAGCGGTGGCTGGAGCAGGAGGAGAGCTTCATGGTTATGGTAGTGGTATTAATATACTAGCTCCAGTTTCTTATGCTGGCTATTGGCATATTATGAGAAAAACATCACCTCTAGAAACAGATGTGCCTGAGTCTGATTCTGCATCTGGGGCAACTTGACAGCTAACTCAAACTAGCGTTAGCTGCCTGTCAGGCTTTGGGAGGCTTTCCCACTCAGTAAAACTTATTTGTGCGCATTGTTGTTGCCAGATGAGCTGAAGAATATCTTTTTCAGATCTTTGAACTGGCTCCGTTGTGCTTGATTTATCTCATCAGACACTGAAACATCCAAAAAAAGGAGCCAAATCACTACTTTTGGCAAAACAAGTCTGTTTTTCTTCTCTCCTCAGGGCAGATAGTGTGTCCTCTTGCCTTGAATAACATTTTCCATTTTTAAACCAGGTGTAGGGGAGCCGAAAGAAAATGAAAAACACAGAGATGAGCGACAGGGAGAGATGTCCCTTCTCTATTTATTTATTGCCTCACCCAGAGGTTACCAAATAACATCTCAGCAATTCAGTCCGCACGGTTTCCTGCTCTGTGTAGTTTTTTTCCCCTGGCCTCTAAGGTAACCCACCTCCACAAACGTTTGGTCAGAGTTTGCTTCAATGCCAGTGACACAAAGTTGCACACAATGCTAAATGAGTTAGTTTTATGGCTCTGACCCTTAATGGGTTCACAGGAATATGCACCGTGTGCTTTGAATGGTCTCCATGTTCTTCCTTAAAAGAGAGAAAAGCAGAATAAGTAGAATTTGTAAAGCTTGAAACTGCTCTGAAAGTTAAGTCATATCAGTGAAATGTGCTGAACTTTGTGATAAACTAATGGAGGATCAACAGGAGGATAAAAGAGAGTCAAAGCAGAATAGAATACTATGAGAGGGAAAGTAAGGCCTGAAAAGAAGGAGATGGAAGTTCGTGAGGAGGAACAAGAGTGGAGGACAGAAGGAGGGAGAAAGGAAGTGGGATTGGCAGGAGCCATGGAGAGGGTGGAGCAAGGAGTCTCCCGTCAGGGAGAGAGAAAGAGAAACAGAGGGAGATGCGGAGAGATGGAAAAAGTGGGAGGGAGAAACCGACGGAGGGAGAGAAACCGAGGACAGAGAGTCGGTTTGATCTTTTCTCTCTGGCTCAGTGGAGCTTTTCCTCCTCTGGAAAAAACTTTCCCTCCGTTCTACTCTGACTCAACTTTTCTGTCTTCCTCAGTTCATTTCTCTCAGTCTCATCTTCTCATCTTCCACGTTCTTAGTTTCCCCTCTCTCTCTCTCTCTCTCTCTCTCTCTCTCTCCCCCCCCCCCCCGGTTTCTCTCTGTCTTAAGTTTTTCCTCGCTTGCATCTTCCATTCTCATACTTTCTGTCCCCATCTCCGCCCTTCTTTCGATGGCCTCCGCTCTCTGCTTTCCTCCTCCTGTCTTCTTCAGCCTCTATTCTCCCAGGATGCATCTCTTCAAGGCGTGCTTCACCAAAACGGTACTGAAACAGAAGGAGAGCGGGAGTTGGAGGCTTTGTTTGGGTTTCGGTGGTGCAGATGTGGACAGAGTTTTGTGATGTTGAAGGTCACTTTTTGAGGCAGTGTAGATGGAAACAAATGGCAAACTATCGCAGGTCGCGGTCATCGGTGGAATTTAAACTCTGCTAAATCATCTTGCTGGTCGATTGTGCATTTTTCTGTTGAAACGTGGTGTTTGGTTAGGAAGAGATAACTCCAGCTGCTTTGCATTGACTTTGTATTTCTGTAACCTGCAGGTGACTGTCAAACTGTTTACTGATTATGTTTTGTTCTTGTTTGTGTATTATGTAAACATGCTTCGGTATGTTTTCTTTCTATTTAAAATGTGTCTTTCTGTCTCTTCCCTGCAGAAGGCAGAGTCCAGAAACAGCAGAGGAAGCATAGACAGAGAAGACGGCACACTACAAGCACCGGTTAGTCATTGTCTGTCTGTCTGTCTGTCTGTCTGTCTGTCTGTGTTTGTTGACACTTTTATTGAAAATCGGCCGCTAACCCCCCTCCACACACACTGATGGAGAGAAGAATGTTAAGTTAAAAAGTGAGAGGAAGCAAGGAATGGAACGGGGAAAAGGAGGAGAAAAGCAGCAGATTATAGCAAAGGGGAGAAAATGAAGTGGTGAGGGAGGCTGAGGGAATGTATTGAGTCCGACAGAAGGAGGCCGGGAGACGTAGAGAAAGTATTTCTGTCTGTGTGCCAGGGAGGTACTGCCTACACACCAACCACATGACCACAGAGGGCTCGTGGAGTTTTGAACCCAGAAGCACTGCACAGTCCCACTTTACTGTCATTGTATGAGTTATGATATCCTAAATCTATTGTCAGCATCGACCTCATCATCTCCACACTGTATCAACTGTAGCTGCTGCTGGGTATTCATTATGCAATAACAACTGTGAATGTGGTATATTTTCTTATGTTGACGTTGTGGAATCAGTATTACGTGATCATTTTGGGCAACGTTTATCTTCTTGTTCGAAGAGTTTCTCTCGTTTAAAGAGTGTTTAATGATTATAGACAACTGAAAGTTGAACCTCTGCGTGTGTGTGTGTATTTGTGTGTGTGTGTGTGTATGTGTGTGTGATTTTCTCTGCACAGGGTGGAAACCAACATATTTACCAGCCTATAGGCAAACCAGGTGAGAGAACGACCAGACAGACACACAATAAGAACACACAATAATACAAATAAATGTCCTGCATTCAAGAACAGACACAGAAGTATTAGCAGCAATATGTATTTAAAGTATCAAAAGTAAAACTACTCATTGTACAGATTTGCCCTTTTCTGAGAGTAGTAACATAATTTACTGTAGCTGCTATATTATATTGGTGTGTCTGCCTAAACCTGCTGCAACAGTTGAATGACGTTTACATGTTAGGAAGTTTGTCCACTTCAGAAACTTTTCAAGTCTTTCCCATGTGTTTTTTGTTTTTTTAAAGCTTTATTTATTCAGTTTAATCCCAATAAGATCTTAAATCTCTTTTGCAAGATGGTCAAGATGGCAGCGCACATAAATAACACATAAAAACACAGATAACAGACTTGAAAACAAAACGGCAAACTATTAAGAACGATATAAAAACATACAAACTTCACATAAAAGAGATGAAAGACTTCAACACATCAGCAAATTCAAAGACTCAATCACAGAATGTTCATCGTCTGTTGGGGCAAATCATTCAGTGCTCAAATGATCCTTAATCCTGTTTTTTTTAAATCTTCCATGTTTATGAATTAATCTAGTTTAAAATATCTCTGTCGCTCACACCAAGATGAAGGTCCAAACACTTAAAAATCGCTTTTAGTGCAGGTAATGAAAGTGTGTTTAAACATAGAAATCTAAAGTTGCATCAAATGAAAGAAAATTATAGTACAAGTGCCTAAATTCTATCAGTATAGTACTACATAGTACATAAAGTACCTTAGCAGGCATCATACTTAACTCCATGCTCCTTCATACTCCTTCTTTTCAGAGCACGTGGCTCCTCCTAAGAAACCCCCCCGCCCTGGAGCTCCTTGTCATCTAAGCAACCTGGCCAGTCTCTGCCCCATCGACAGCTACAACGAGGGGGTGAAGGTATGTCTGCACACATCAGACAAAAACACACATGAACCTGCTAAAACTACAGAACGTATCCCCCAGTTTAAACATGAGCAGTGGTTCCTTATTAAGATCTATTTTGTGAACACTGTTCCTTCACGTTGCTCTTGTTTAGCCTCTTTTGTTTTTTGAGTTGACTTCACTATTTGGCACTTTGCCGACGGGTTGCATGCTGTGCCATGCCTTGCCTTGCCCGTGGTTGGCTTCGGCCTAATGTTCTGTCCCTCTTCTCTCCCCCTTTACTCCTCCTCCCTCTCTCTCATTAACATCAATGCATATTTTTTTCCCCTTTAACACCGTCCCATCTTTCTTCTCCCTCATCCTGCTTTTCTGACCTCGTCCTCTGCATCCATCTATCCTCCCCCCCCCCCCTCTCATCACAACCTGCTGCACACCACTGTCCCCTTCAATCTCCTCCCTGTCAAATCCACATCCACCCCAACCACACCTCCCTCCCACCTCCTCAACCTCCCCATAGCCGTGGAGGGTAAGCTGATCTTTGTGTTTGTCCGTCTTCACTGTAGAGTTAGTTAGCCATTAGTTAGCCGCTAGTTAACCATATGTTCATGTATAGCGAAGCTTCATGAAGCTTCCTGAGTAGTTAAAAGATATTTTTCTTTACCAGAGGCGGAGCAAAATGTCACTGCTGGCACAATAATCTCACCTGGGGCTTTCACCTTCATCTCATGGTGAGCAGCACAGATGGTGAAGACTGTGAGGTGTGGTTGAAAGCTCCGGAACGTTGACCGTGGGATTATTTTGGCGCAAATAAGACATTGTTAGCTTGTCCCACTATTCCCCATTCAAGGCAATATTATTAATATGCTGGCTTTGGGCTCGTAGCCATAGCCAGAGTGTTGTGAACACTGATCCCTGGTAAAGAAAAACAAAATGTGAAAGTAATAGTAGTGCTTTTACTTAGATCGATAGAAGCATTGTAACCTGATCACTGTATGTCTTCCATTGCGTCTCTAGATGATAATATAGTGAAATGAATGTTGTTAAAGGTGCTCAATGCCTCCACACTGCTCTCAACATGGAGACGGCTGAGAAGACAGCGCTCAGCTAACAGCGCAAACAACACAGTGCTGACAGAGCTAACAGTGTTAACCTGGGGGGGGGACCGCACGACATCAGTCACGGCCACGTTAAGCCTCGGTTATACTTCGGACGCATGGACACGAGCTGACGTGCGATCGTGACGAGGAAACGTTGTGATCGTTTATACTCTGTGGGTTTCTCTTTGTAGTTAGAACATGTTCGATGTGCACGTACAGACCCTGCCGCACAGAACCACGGCAAAGGACCACGTCACAGTTGTGAGATGGTGTTACTTTGGCCATGTGGACGCTAGCAGCCCTCGCACATGCAGCAAGCATAAATGAATCACAGCTTCATCAGCTGTGAACGGCAAATGAGCGCAGTGCAGAGCAGCAGCCATGAGCGAGCTTGTGGGGCACGCTCACGTGCACTAAAGAGCACGTGTGGCTGGACCGGCTGCGTAAACAAAGCAAAGAGAAGCTCTGATAACAACACAGAGAGAGAGAGACTTTATTGTTTGTTTAGGTAGACATTACCCCGCTATATCTTCACATACATAATAGTTGTTTGATGCTTTATTAAGGCTCTGAATGACGTATAAAGAGCCTCTAAATTAGTTCCAAACATTATGTGTTTAAATAAATCTATATTCATTTTATGTGGTTTCCTGTGATCTTCACCAGGAAGCTGTGTTATAGCTGTTGGGACATAATGTTGGGACTTTTTTCTCAATATAAAAACCTGTCTGTCCTAACATCACACTGTACTAACAGCCATACACACTCCTCTGTCATAGTACAATAGTCAGACTATCTAGTATGTTGGTAGAAATGCATGTAGAGAAATAACAATCTGAGGAGTGAGTGAGTGAGTGAGTGAGTGAGTGAGTGATTCTAGTCAAACACTGCCCCCCAGTGTTGACTGGCAATACAATTTCTAAGAGGAAGCCTTGTGACGTGTGTTTTTCGTGGCTCATTGTGACGGTCCTGCTCTCCTTGGTGGTCCAGCTGCAGCCTCAGGAGATCAGCCCACCCCCCACGGCCAACTTGGACCGCTCCAACGACAAAGTGTATGAGAACGTGACGGGATTGGTCAAAGCTGTGATTGAGATGTCCAACAGGATTCAACCCGCAGCCCCAGAGGAGTATGTCCCCATGGTCAAGGTAGGAGCAATACTCACATTTAAACCTTTTTATCCCTTATTTTAGATTTTAGAAGTTAAAGATACATCATCGACACATTTAAACGTGCATATTTAACTGAAGACTGATGCAAAAACGTGTGTGTGTGTGTGTGTGTGTGTGTGTGTGTGTGTGTGTGTGTGTGTGTGTGTGTGTGTGTGTGTTTGGTAGGAGGTAGGTCTGGCACTGAGGACTCTACTAGCGACAGTGGACGAGACACTTCCTGTTCTGCCAGCCAGCACACACAGAGAGGTAAACACACACACACACAGTTAAAGATTTTTAGTAGAGGTTTCCCAGAACACTGTAACTAATGTTGTCATTGTTGTTGTTTGTGTCGTCACAGATTGAGATGGCCCAGAAGCTGTTGAATTCGGATCTGGCCGAGTTAATCGCGAAGATGAAACTGGCCCAACAGTACGTCATGACGAGGTAGGTACACAGACGACGGCTGTGTGTTTACTGATAATGTTTTACGACTTTACAGTAACGGTTTTCTGTGTCCTGGACAGTTTACAAAAGGACTACAAGAAGCAGATGCTGATGGCAGCGCACGCCCTCGCAGTCGACGCCAAGAACCTGCTGGACGTCATCGACCAATCACGGCTCAAGATGATCCGCCCGCATTAGTGTCCGCTGCAGCCAATCACAAAGAGAAGAGGACACTTAGATCAGTGACGGACAGATGAATAAATGAACTGATGGACAGCAGACATGACTGAAACAATCAGCTCCCTCATCTCCGTCAAACATTTCTTTTTTGCTCTCCGGCGACACGTCGTGTTTCGCTCAATATCGTGATGTTTTGTACTTTTGTTGCATTGTTCGCTTTTGTATCCAGAGAAACGCTTTTGTCCTCCATCACGTATCCTCAAAGATAGAGTTGTTGTTGTTGTTGTTTTTGTAAATCATTCGTTACTACTTTTTAAACTTCGAAGAAAGTGAATCAAACAAAGGTTTTCGGAGGCTCGCTTGAAGGACTGCAGAGATATTTTTGGTGTTCTGACACACCGACAATGTGCCACATAAACGTATCACAGGATGTAACAGCTGGAACTGAAGAGCCAGGACGAGGAGGATAATGAAGATGATATGATGTTGCTGTTTAAGCATGCTTTTTATATCATGAATTATTTACTATTACTATTTTCAGCCTTGACTCTTACAGCACATCTGTGTTCAGTCTTCCTCTTGAATATATTCGAATGGGCAGAAACAAGTGATTGACAGCTGCTCGTGAATAGTTTCATCTCTTTTTGTTCACTCTCTAGACCTCTCGTCTCAGGCATCATGATTGAAATATGAAATATGAAAGCTGTGTTTTGAAGAACAAAGTAAATGTCACAGGCCACTTTTTAAGTTAACTCGCATAGTAGATATACATAGAGGCTATATTTTTAACACGTTTCTGAGGCATGAATTGTGCGTGAATAAGGGAGAAGGATGAACGTGGGGGTGAAGGGACGGAGGTGGGGGAGGGGTGTTTTTTTTAATGGTGGTCCTAATTATTATGTACAGAAGGTAACCCTGTGCCAAATGTACTGCCATCGACAAAACAAAAAGGATTATTTCACTCAAATTATTTAGTTTTATTCAATAATTCCACATTTTCAGCAGCAACTCGCCGGTCATGTTCTACAGAAATGTTAAATTCATGGATTCTTTGTTGCTTGTTTTGTAGATTGAAGCCGTTGGGGGTTCCTTCGGTCCTATTTGTCTTCTCACAAATGTTCACTCGACAATATGCAGCGCAAGCTTTCAGTTACGCCCTCGCTGGCAAATTTTGGAATTGGATTTTCAGGGACATTGAAATACTTTCTGGGGATAGACAACAGTTGGGGGGGGGGGGTTGGTTGGTGGCCACAGGTCTTCATTGGCTTTATCTTGTAAATCGTTCATGTTCAACATGATTTGCTTTTTTATCTCCCTTCTATCGGTCCTCCTGTCTTTCTACCTCCCTCCACTGGACTTATTTATACTTTCCCTCCCGTCGGCCTCGTGCTGCTCTCCTCCCTCTGATTCTCTCCATTCCACCACTCCCTCCCCTCTGAGGTGAGCAATATTCTCAGGAAGGAGTCACATGTACAGTTGCTGAACCGAGCAAATAAAAACACTGTCATTAAGCAATAGCGTGTGTGAAAGAATCATGTACAGAAATGAAACAATTGAGATTATATTTATTTCATTATTTAGCAGTAGCAGGTTATAAATTACTTTTTTTTCTCCAACATACTAGACTATGACCTACCATACGATTAAATTTTCAAACTACACACTACAACCTTTCCCGACATACTATACTCTGACTTTATTTTACATTTTTTTTACACCAATTTGGTATTTTTCATGATATTTTTAGACATGCCATACTGTGAATTTTTAATGATTTAAAACAAACTACACTTTAATGACATTTTTGGAGTTATGGTATGGATTACTTTTTCATGACATTTCTAGACGTGATATACACTAACTTTATTACATGACACATTTTTTGCCTTTTTAAGACATACTATGACTTTTGTTGGTTGATGTCAACTTAAGCTCCCAGTAGCTCAAAACAAGTCTCCACTCCACAGCTTCTTTCCGGGGACTCGTAGCTGACAGTCACAGCGTTACTGCTGGCCGTCAGAGGAGGCAGACCATCAGTTGAGTTTAAAAAGTTCATTTACTCGGAGAAAACATGGCATCATTTAATAAAAGCAGCCGAGTTCAAACAGATTATAAAAGCAAAGCGTTGCAGCATGTTGGACAAGGATTTAGGCCACTTTAGGAAGTTTAGATTTAAAAAAAATGTGATTGAGTCAGTTAACAAGCGACAGGGCTATAATCTAGTGCAGCTGTAACATGTTAAAGTGTCTTGGTAGTGAAAGGTGATGTTTGTGTCTGTGCCAGAGGCAGGAGAACAGACGGTAAGACAAGGCAGGAGTCTTTTTTTTTAATTATCTTTTATTGTGTTTTCTTACAAAACCATCTTTTTAATCAAAAAGACCAAATCCCATGTCGTCGTCTGACTCCTCGGACTCGTCCTTCTTCTCCTCTTTCTTCTCCTCCTCCTTGGCTGTAAGGTAAACACAGGAAAGGTTAACAAAGTCCTGATAAATACAAACTACCCAAAGAATTCAAAGCTCTGATCTCAGACAGTTCAAAAACATTGGCTTGAGCTCAGCTCTTCACAAATGCCTTAAGAGATTATAGTTCAGCTGGGTTCTGTTATGGGAAGGATTTTAAAATGATAGTTTTCCCTCTGAAATGAGAAAACGTTTCAGGTCGGCATCACTTTGAACAGGCCTTAACCAGACCAGTACTAAATTAATAAAAAGGCCATGCTCCAACACTTTAGTTACCAAACTATTCCCATCTCTACTCCTCAAAATCAAGTCACGTGCTTGTTTAAGGCTCACAAGTACAGCACGGGACTACAATTATAGTCCACAAAATCATTAAGTGTATCCCACTTTAGCGTTGCTGTATTAGACAATAAACCATCAGGAGCATTTGACTGTCGAGCCCATCTAAAGCCACTTGTTCCCAGTATTAACGCCTAGTTACCTGGGGCATCACCACCAGACACGGCGACAGCGGCTCCAGCAGCAGGTGCTCCAGCTGGAGCTCCACCTCCAGCGCCAACGTTGCAGATCAGGCTGCCGATGTCGATGCTGGACAGAGCCTAGGAAACGACAACATGTACAGGTCAGTGGGGAGTAGCGCACAGACCAACACAAACAATAGGCATGACCCTATTGTTCTTATGGAGAGTACACTATTCTGCAAAGGCTGTGCTGATGCAACACAGTCAACGGTAGATTTCATAGTTGATTGAACTGCTGTGGACACTTGATATTTTAAGAAAGCAACAGACACTTCTCCATCCTATTGATTTGATCCCTCCCAAACAAAGTCCGGTTTTTCTCTCACCTTGGCAAACAGACTTGGCCAGAAGGGCTCCACGGTGACTCCAGCGGCCTTGATCAGAGCATTCAGCTTGTCCTCCTGCAGACACACAAAACAGCAGTTAGAAAATCTACTCCACGCATCCTTAAATAACCAGTATTGACTTTATGAACATCATCAGTATACAACATCGAAATCACAAGTTAGGAGCGAGCAGTCTTCTGTTATTGCATCACATTAATATCATATAGTTTAACTATTCCACTCCTTGTAACTTTCTGGTTGTTATTGACAGAGTGATGCTGAGTTAATAGAAACAGATGGCTACTTTGAAAGTATAGCATGCTAGGTCTTAATCTAAACAGCGATTTTCACATCTGGATGTTGTGCAGCATCCACATGCACCAAACCTGTCAGGGTAACGTTAGACAACCATGTAACAAGCAGACAAACTAGAGTGGGGTAACACAACAACGTTACACCAAACTGCCGCACTTTTCACGGTAACAAGTTAGCCCTCCTGGAGTTAAAGCATGTTGTGGAGATTCACTATCTCAGAATGTGCGTTAGCTAGCACCTGTCATTTGAGTGGTAGACGGAGCGAAACTGTGCCGAGTTAACACTAAAGCCAGATGTTGTACGTTAGATACTATTCACAACACAAAACACAGTCAACAACTGTCCCGATACAGAAACGTGGCCCAACGTTAGTAAGAAGCGTGCCGCCATTTTAACCGGTAGTTGGGACTTAAAGCATCTAAACATCGTAATTGTATTTAAACAGACATTCATATACAGTTGTATTAATAGCGTCATTACTGTCTCCGCTTTGTCATTCAGGGGCTTCACCAATAGCACAATACTTCCACGGGTGCAGTTAATGAGTATCGGCGGGTATGTCGGGGATAAACCGGGACACTTACGGTGACGGTAACTTCATCGTCGTGGAGGATCAGAGCGGAGTAAATGCAGGCGAGTTCGGACACGGAGGCCATTGTAGATGTTGGATTTTATGTTCGTCGCGGTGGATGCCTAAATTTGACGGTGCTAGTCGCCGGATTGAGGGCCTTAGCTTCTGGTGAAGAACCGAGCACCTTTAGGCACGTTTGTTTCCTGTAGCGAAAAAGGGACGGAGCAGGGCGCGCGCTCATTATATATACGCCGCGTCAGGGATGCTCTTACGTAAGCACGCACACAACGTGACGACAGACGTAAACCAAATGAGTCCGTATTAGAATAGTGTAGCTTTGCTCCACTGAATTTAACATATATAGATGTTCTGCTAAGTTGAAAACAATTACACACAATAAAAACCCATCTTCAATTAAATAACCAGAAATATAATACATTTTTCTTTTATAAATAGGTGTCTTTCCAAGGCCAAGTCACACCATTTATTCTTTATTTATCTTCCAATATATACTATATTTTATCCTAATGTAATTGTATGTTTTATTTAAATACAGCTAAATTAATCTGGACAGTTTTAAGTTGAGTAAGTTAGTTGTACCAAAAAAGATCTGAATATATACATATAGAGCATTCTATCAAACATCTGGAGGTACCATATATAATTAGAAATCGTATACTGTGTAAGTTTCTGTGTGCTTTGTGTAGTTTCCTGCTGTTATTATCACTTAAAAGCCAAAACTGTGAATAAGATGTATACAAGAAACGGGTCAAGAGGCTTTAAATCCAATGCAAACAACATGGTCAGTCGACAATTTTATTAAATCACAATCAAAAACACAATCATCACAAAAACCATTTCAAGGCGATTTTCCGGCAAATCTTGCCTTGTCTCATTTAAACAGGAACAGAGAACCTAGATCTTTGTGCACAGATCTAATGTATCTTTACATATAAAAAACAAAAAAAAACAACATTAGAACTATGGCAGAAAAATCAAAGATGTGACTGTAAATCCAAATGTAGTAATACTTTCCTCAAGTCTTACCATTTACTGTTTCCTTCACAATGTCGGTGTCTATTTAAAACATTAGATGGATCATTTACAAAGCTCGCCAACAGTTTAAAGAATCATTCTCACATTTGGCACCAACAAATCTTCTTGGCCCCGATATGTAAAAAATACTCAAGCAGGTAAAACTACAAAACTAGAGTAGATGGAAAGCACAGTATGGCTTTGAGGAGTACCCTCCTTTGTTACAGTGTAATGACAGGCAGTATATTTTCACTTGCTACAGCCATCACATACTGTTGATGGAAACTACATTATAGCTCTTAAAATGTTGCACTTCCAGTTCCCTCGTCTTGAAGTCAATGGTTGCTGGAATTGGTTTTTTGGTTAGATGCCTGAAATAAATTCTGTGCTAAACACAAGCTTAATATATTTGAACGTCTTCTACGATATAAAACGGGTCAGTAGATACTTCTCTCGTTTAGTCATCCCTGCACTCCTCTCTCACTTTAACAGGAAGGGTAAACAGGGTCTGTCACTCTGGAATTTGTCCCAGGGTTAAAACATGTTCGCTTTGTCCAAAATTATAATTTGGGATACAAAAAAAAAATAAAAAATTTGAAATGACTACACATTCATACATTCTAAGAGTATTTTCACTCAGCAATGTTTTAACATTATTATAGAAAAATCCCTCAAATTCTGCATCAGGAATAATTAACCGAGCCAACAGCACATCCACTTACGGATTGTTCTGAAAGCTCCGATGTATCAGACTTTGCGCTTGTATAATAAAAATATGGAAAATCAATGTATTTAGATACGAGTTCTTCAAAGTAGTCTGAACCAGGTTGTTATCAAAACGCTCACTGCAAGTTAACTGGAATTTGTAAACACAAAATGTTTTAAATTATACATTTTTGACATTGCAATTATAACTCTGAAAATACGATATTTACAGTGGTCCTCAGGAGATGTTTTCATCTTAAAATATGAATGCCTCCCCAATCATGCATCATACTTTACGTCAGTGATATTAACAGTATGGAGCTGGGGTGGGACTGGCTTTGTGGAATCACGTGGTGTTTGAACAGGAAATGCTGACTTTACTAAAGTCGTCGGTGTACTCTTTCATACCAGAGCTGAGTAGAGTCTGACCCGCGGTAGACACGGTCAGTGTGCCGGCCTTTCACACCAATCACAAACAGGTTTTTTCCAGGTTGTCGCCTCAGTCTGAAACGGTTTAGAGGTTTATGTTATTGATCTTCATGTCCCGCCGCACGCTGCAAAACTAAATAATTCCTCTCCTGACTGCAGAAGAAGGCAGATAAGCTGATGTTGACCTTTGAACACTTTGGGAGGGAGTAAAAACAGACAAGAACCACAAGGATGTTGATCGACCGGGTCCGTTTACAACTAACTGACCAGATGCCTCTGGACCCGGTAACCCAGCTCAGATGATACCAACTGACCCGGACCAGTCAGTGGATACCAGTGGACTGAAGAGGAAACATGCAGGTACCAGGTCACTAGTCCTTGTGAGGCTTTCCTTTGGGTTTTTTTTCGTCGTAAGAAACTCCATATTCATTTATTCTTGTTTTATCCACTGGGTAGAGCCTGAGGGAGGGGAGACAATTTGAGGTTAGAAAGCTGTTGTGTTTTGTTGGTGATGTAGGAATCTGTGTGATGCGTGTGTGTGTGTGTGTGTGTGTCTGTACCATCTCTGGTAGAGGTAAATGAGAAACACCACATCGTCCCTGAAACAGGCCAGTCTGTGTGACGTTGGCATCGTGATGACGAAAGCAAACACGTCGTCGATGAAGGTGTTGAATGCCTGGCAAAGAAAAAATAAATAAACCAATATCAATCAATTAAAAACATAACTAATCATTAACAAGGCTATGCAGTGACAGTGACTTAAATTAAATAATCGATTTAACATTTGAAAATAATGCGGAAAACTGGTTGTTGTATCAAACGTAATTCAGTATTTGTCAAATGATCCGTTACAGAAGACCACGATTATAAGCTGATATTTTGGTGATTGTCCCGAGACCTGCTCTTACCTTGTACATGAAGGCTTTCCAGGGCAGGTGGGCCACAGATTTCAGCTGTTAAATTAAACATATTAGGTCAGTGGGATGTTTGAAAGACAAAAAAAAAAAAAAAACAGTACATTAAATGAAACGCTGCTAACTTTCAGGCAAATATCTCAACAATTTCATGCTTCAGCCGGCACATTTTCCTGTAAGATCTGGAGATCCAGGAAACTCCACAAGGGACCTGTACCCTTAAACATTACATGTAGCACTTATTATTGTTTTCTCTTAAGATGTGAGGCGCGGCACACATTTTGAAGATGTCTTTATGATAAGTGTATTTATTCCATTGCCACATTGTACATTTTTATGAAAAGTAAGACGACCACACACACACACACACACACACACACACACACACACACACACACACACACACACACACATACACACACACAAATCATGATAAACTGACCTTATAGTTGACAAACAATTGAGGAAGCATGAAGAGGAAGCCAAAAGCATATACACCTGGAACCATCAAGAACATTTTACAATGAGGTAATGGACTTGTAATTCTAATACTGTTAATAGTACATTAGTACAACGGGGTTTTACTGTGTTCAAGTTTAAAAAGAGCTTACCATTAACCAAACTGTTGATGAGCCACGAGTACCAACTAAAACAGGGACGAGAAACAAAAAGGAGATGATGACTGGTGAGACTTGATCGGCATCATATTAGTAATCATCTTATGATACACACACCTCTTATAGCGTTGAAATATTAGCGCATACACAGCCCCTCCAATACACATCGGGTAGAGGAGGTATGAAAGATACTTCATGGCCTATGGAAAAGAAAACAACATACAGTAAGTGTGCATCCAGTTACAGCCAGTCTATGTGTCCCAGTGTGGTTTGGTTTATTACATTGTATAGTCTGTGCACGCGGGAGTCTGTTGTGTCTTACCAGAGTATCGTACTCCTCTGTTCTCCTCTCCGATTCATCCAATTTCCCAAACTGTTCCACATCAAAGAAAAACACACACAAATGAACTCCTAGCACACAATTTAAATTCACAACAAGGCAAATCATACCCTCCATGCATTTGTAGATTTGTTTTATGATGGCTGTTAAGTGTTGCTTTTTGCAATTTAATGAGACAATAGCAAAAAGAAGATCAACCAGTTGCACACACACACCCTCACCAGGAATGTTGGTTTGCCTCCTTTCCAGGAAACCTGTATCTTAAGGGCCTTCTTCACTTTCCACACCTGCAACGAAAAAAACCCCACACAGAATATAGAATATTATGTGTTAATCATCAAGATGTTGGGGGGGGGGTATTTAATAGCGTGTGTTTCCAGTCTGTGTGTACTTACTTCAATGATGGAGCCGACACCAGCCGGTATGAGGACAAGCAGGCTGGTCTGCTGGTCAAACAAGTAGAGGAAAACCACGATGGTGCTGAAGCATCGCCACAGCACTGGACAACAAAACACTAAATGTTACTGACATTGCTGTTGAATTCTTTGGTCCAGACTTTATGTGGATTGCTCTTAGCACAGCAACTGATACCTGTTCTCGGTAGTGTTCCAATATGCTGATGTATTTGCAGAGTTATGCTCCATCATATTCTATCCACTCTGATGTTCCTGAATTTTCTACTTTAAAAATCCATAAATGAAGTTGTCTCATAGTGCCAAAGCTGTACAGCACCGTTCCAGTGGAGGAGAATAATTAGAAGTACAGGCTTCTTGCTCACACAGCTGTGGGGCAAAATATTGCTGAACAGCATTTTGCAGATGGCCAATTCCTTCCAATACCTCAAGAGCATCTCTCACTCTGTTGCTGTTTTACTGAGCAGAAGGAAGCAGAACCGACTGCAACACACTGCTGATGCCGGGTTTCTTATAGATTCACTAGTGTTACTCACACTGTACTGCAGTGCTCTATTCAAATCAGTCACAACCCGTTTATAGTTTTCCTAACTTTGCCATCGGTTCTGCATTTGTTTCCCATCCAATATTGTGTTTTTCATGAGAGCAAAGTCGCCTACCTGCTTTGCTGGACATTCCCACCATGCTTTTCTTCTGCTTCCAGAAGCTGATGTCGTTCTTGAATGCCAGGAAGTCGAAGAGGAGCTGAAAAAGCAAAAAAGACACGAACGTACATTTGTCACGCTACAGTTTATTGTTGACCGCTCATGATCAGTGTTCTTTTACTGTGGAGGTATCTAGACGAAGAAAATCCAACATGTCTAATCAGGAATATATTCACATGCTTTCATGTCAAGTGAAAATCCTGCGTCATGTGGTGAAGACTTACATGGAAGGCAGCTACAAGGAAGGTCAGAGCCAGGAAGTACAGGTTGGTATCCACGAAGATTCCTTTAATCTCATCAGCATCCTTTTCTGTGAAACCTGCAACACACACACATGTCGACAAACAAATATTTAGGTGGTGTTAGAGTGCAGGGCTTCTAGACTGTGTGTGTGTGTGTGTGTGTGTGTGTGTGAGAGACAGTCAGAGAGATAGAGATGATTAACTAACCGAACTGCTGCAGAGAGAAAACAGCGTCTTGCATGTGGATCCAGAATCGTAGCCTCCCCAGAGAGATGGAGTCGTAGGAGATGGTCAGAGGGAGCTCCTTGGAGGTACTGTTGATCTCCTACAACCACACACGCACACACACACTCTTTAAAGTTAATATGTGAAGTAACAGATCAACATCAGCTCATTTTATAGAGATAGTATCTTCAGATGTGTAATGGTCTCTGTGATATTCAGGTGAGACATTAAGCTTTGACGTTATATTATCCTGAGGCAGGAAGCAATTCATTCTTGACTTATTGGGCTAATGTGTACAGTAGCCATGTTTCCATTCAATTGTCACGCAAATTTTAACTTTTGAAATGTCGCGAAAGAAGAAAAGCGAATTAGACGCACATCCATGAACTGGTTGGGAATGAATAAACTCAGCTGCAGCGTAGTTCGATCAGAAGTTGGCGCTATAGGCAAACAACAAAACAAGTCGCCTTGGCCATCCAACTAACCCATGTATGATAGAACAATGGAGAGGGGTCTTAAGGAATTTCTTTCAATTGAACAAGTTTATATTGTTCTTTCATGTCAGCTCGTATTCGCCATGTTTCATGTTGCCTGGAGAGGAAAACAAGCATTCATACGTTATAGTAATATCTAAGAAGACGGCGACAGCAAAAACAGCTGATCAGTCATGTGGGTTAAATGTTCACGACATCGGAATTTATTTGGCAAATGCGTCATAATATGTATTTGAATGTAGAAGCTCACCTCAAGGTCCTTGACACGGTTGCTGAGCTCATCAACAAACAGCAGAGGTAGATAAACCATCTTCTTACCATTTTGGAATCTGAAAAACAAAAACATCTGATGGCTCTGGGTCCGAATTAAAGTCTGTGTAATCCATTCAAAGCATGCTTAAAAAAAAAAATACACCCGTATGTATCATGTTTAACATAATTCTCAGAGGGTGTTGCATGTGTCTGTTTCTGTATTCGCTGTCTTACACTCGGAGGTATCTGTGCACATCGCTCGGCAGGTTTTCTTTGTCAAACAGGAAGTGGTCTGCGACAACATTGAGCGTCAGGCGGGTGCGCCAGTGGGAGACCGGGTCATCAGCTGTGGAAGCGGTACCAGCTCCACCCCCTGCCGCAGGGTTACCGACACGTTTCTTCTGCTGGGCTTCTTCTTTCTCCCCCTGTGTGGTCACACAGACAAAAGTAAGTGTACTCTCTTGTAACTACACTCTTCTGTATCTATACTGATAAGATACAGATACTACATGTTCTAAAAAAATATATTATAAACATATAGTGACAGTTAATTTAAACATTGAAGTAGCTACCTTAAGCTCCTCCCCATGCCCTTACACACGCTTCATTCAGTAAATGTGAACCACTCAGTACCTGTATTTGATCCTCTCCGGATATCAAAGAGATATACGCCGGTTTAGGGACCATGTATGTGGTGAGCTGAGCCACCAAGTGGACCTGTCGTGAATCCTGCCACGGCGTGACACCCGCTTGATGGACAAATACCAGTGCGTACAAAGTTCCATTGTTGCGGGTCTTCTTAGGGAGAGAGACATTTACTATCCTGGAGGAAAAGGAGAGGAAGAGGAAGAAAGGCAGGATGGTATTTTTTTTTTACATGTATTGTATATCAGAATATGTCTGACGTCTGCCAATGCAGCATCTGAGTTAACTGATCAGATCTGAGGACAGAGACGCCTCACGCTTGTTACTTTATTACTTTTCTATTCTAAGAGTGACACCAACCTCTCAAACTTGCTGTTGACATCAAATATTTCCTCTCTGTGGATCAAAGTATGTCCTCCCTCTGCATCGGGCCGCAGTGCAGTGTAGATACTCAACTGAGTACACACAGAGAGATTTTACAGGTATTATTACATATATACAGTATACTACCAGCCTTGTTCCTAACCTGGCCAATTAAACCAAACCACCCACACAGACAGTTGAAGCTCAAACATACCGGATTCAAAACTGAGCAGTGCGACCACCCATCCCCTCCACAGTACTGACCTGTAGTTTTGGGTCCCCTGCCAGGAAGGGTGCGATACAGTTGTCGCCTTCGGGGCTGTCGCAGGGTTTAGTGTACACTATCCCGTACATCACCCAGCAGGTGTGGAGCACGTACACCACAAACACGCCCACGATCAGGCTGGTGAAAGATGCATTCAGGAACATGATGCTGGCTTCGTCGTCTCGTCACGGACTCTCCCTCGGCTAGCCGAGGAGCAGGGCCATATGTCTGCAAATGAGGAGTCATCGACAGAGGGTTAGTGTGGAGTACGAGGCTCAACCAACAATCAATGCTGACTGTGTATTGTTAAAGAATGCAGAGTCTTCATCAGCTGGCAGAGGCCTCTCCTCTTAACACTGACTAATTACCGACTTACCATCTGAGAAATGAAACTACACTACATGGCACACATCTGCAAACATCTGCACAGTCACCACCATATGTGACTGGTGAAGACTTCCTTCCACAACCATGTGCATCAATATGCTACTGTCATAGCCTTCTCTCTTCTGGGACGGTGTTCCACTAGATTTTGGAGCCTGGCTGCAGGCATTTGCTCCCATTCTGTCACAAAAGCCTGAGAGGATGACCACTGATATCGGGGGGATAAGGCCTGGCTCGCAGTGGTCATTAAATTCATCCAAAATGTGTTGGATGGGACTGGGGTCAGGGCTCTTTGCAGGCAAGTCAAGTTCTTCCACTCCAGCAACAAATAATTGCTCTATGAATGTGGCTTTGACTCGTGGCATTGTTATGTTCAAATAGGAAATGGCCTTTCCCCAAATTGACATATTGTATACACTGTTTCGCAGATGTTTGACAACATGCATTAAAATAGCTCTTTTAGTGTAAGAACATCCTCATACACATTTCGATATTTTACACTATAAACACCGCTTCGGGTGATCAAAAAACATATTCAAATAGATTTTAGCAGCTGCTATTTGAATCTATCCGATCTATTGTGAACACTTTGACCAGTTACTGCTGGAGTCTTTACAAAGCGCCAGATTAAAAGGTTGTATACTTGTTTTTCTCTCATATGTTGTGATGTATATTGAAAGTAGAATCCAGATGTTAACGTTAAACCTACCCGGTGTTTCACTTAATCTGTCAGGTTGTCAGTCCGCTCGGCTCTCCGTCCATTCGCTTCACCGGTTCTGCCGGGTAACGCTCGTCAGACGCGACGACATTGGTTCTTCAAAGCCGTCCACCGTTTGTTTAGCTGAAAGCATCTGCTGTCTACTCGGCTGGCCTCTCCATTCAAGAAGAAAACGGGTCTCCCAGTAACTGCTAGCTGCAAGCGTGAGGTGGATCTAAATTTCCGCCATTCGCTTCCTGGTTGGTTTCTTGGACGGGATTTCGGGGGAATTATCGCGAGACTACACGTCATCGAGACTGTACTGGAATTGACCAGCTATTTATTTAGTCCATACAAACAGGCTATTATAAATGACTAAGATCTATTTAATATTACCTGTACATTTTAGGACCTTGAGTTTTAAGTTCTGATAATCACATGCAATCAATACAGGTAGTGAAGTTGCGTATAAGTGGTTTGTAGGTGTTCGCGAAAGTGTTATGAGAGTCTTTGTTCAATGGAGGTATCAGTTCCATGAACAATATTGTTTTTGCGTGAGCGTTTGTATTTTTTGAAAACAGACTTCCGTGACCCGGATTCGAACCGGGGTTGCTGCGGCCACAACGCAGAGTACTAACCACTATACGATCACGGCTCGCCACTAATATTGCAAGCTTATGCAGGGGCTTCTAGTTATATGATCGTGACTAAAGTGGTCAAACTGCTAATAATCCTACTTTGTCCTACATAATACATAAGTCATATATATATATATATATATATATATATATATATAGTCTATGTATAAAGTCTCTACCTGTGAAATATTGTTATATGAAGCAATTTATTTTCCCAAATCTACAATAGTCACGGTGACATTTTTTATTAATGACATGTAACTGTTTGTCCCTAAAGGCACCCTAACCTAAGTTACTTTAATCACTCCTGTGCAGAAGAGGTCAAGCTCACGATAAAATTATTTCCACACAAACTGAAAGGTTTACCATTGCTTTTTCATTTCTTAGCGGAAACAGATTCCACTATATCTGTTATATTGTTTATAGATAAGAAATTCATTAAATTGCTGGACTCATACACAGTTGCTCCTTTCTCCCCCACGACCCTCAGATTTATTAGTAGACTCATCTGTTTTTTTCTTCGTCAAAGTAATTGTAGGTATTGTCTATCACAGGGGTTCTTAACCTTTTTGACCTCGGGGCCCAACTTTTCAAGTACAAAGTGTCCCGGGGCCCATTCAAATATTAACACTATTAGTTTAACTAATTGATCTCACTCTTGGTTTGATTTGTATTCAATAACTATATTGTTACCTGTTCAACTCCACCCCTATTTTGGAGCAAAACTGCCTAAAATGACATACCCAAATTAAAATGGCTGTAGCTTCTGAACCACTGTGACTATATGCATCACAAGCGTCAGAAAACCTGTAGGTCATACAGAAACAGAGCGGTGGGCCTTTGGAGTCAGTAAAAATTTAAGATTTTTGTCCGCATAAAATAAAAAAGTATCTTTCAGTATAAATAACTGCCTGTGGCTGTATCTGTACAGGTAAATGACAGTATAGGGCTGTAACTACACTATCAGTGAACAACTGCCTCAAATTTCAAGAAGATTGGACAAAGTATGACGATTCTACAGTGTTTCTTCCATGAAGAGATCCAGGCGGAGCTCTAAAAGGATATTTGGAGACCCAAATGGACACATGGTAACCAAATGATATTCTGACACACTAAAGGTGTTTCTCCATTTATATTTTGATATTATATTATTTTCCTTTTATTTTTAGCCTTTGCAAATTGCAAAAACTATATTTATATGGTCGAAGACGTGGTATGTAAGTAGCGGACTTACTGTGCGTAATGGCTGCGACTGAGCGCACGATCGAGTATGAGGGTAGCTCAGTTACGCAAGGTTATACGTTGGTTGACGACTTAAAAAAGAGGAAGATAAGATTTGTACTTTAAGTACTAGCGTTTTCTGAAGCTACTAGCTCCATGGTAACATCCGCTAGCACATTGTTGGGTCTGTAATGTGTCTTTTTCCGTCGAAATGCTGCAAGATCCGACTTGCAGCGGTTATGGCGACTTTGGACAGTGTGTGTTTGGGCTCCTTTTGTGAAAAATCCATAAGAAATGAAAGAAAATCGATGATTTCTTTGCAAAGATGAGGGTTTTGGGCATGCTGGGATACCAAACACGGCCATGTTTTGTGACGTAGTTTGCGCAAGGAAGCCGTAGGAATGGAACGGAAGGGGAGGGGATCGAGTACGCCGGCGTCCTCGCGGAGTTGAACAGGCAAAACCCTTGTCATATAAATGAGATGATACAATGTGATGATCACAAAGACATGTATTTATCATGTGTATGTAAACCTGCATACACAACAAGAAGCCCAACAGGCTTTCCCACGAGCGTTGGATGTTTCGTCGCTAGGTGTCGCTTTATTTTTGAAGGCTTCAGTGCTTTGTTTGATAGAATTAGCCCACATTCCACACACTGAAAGTGTTAAGAAAGTCAGAATTGTAAATGATGTAACACTGCTGCCCTATAGTGGTTAAATCATGTAATGTTTATTACTCATTAAATGATTTAACA